AGCTTAGTAGCCAAAGGAGCCGAGCTTAGTAGCCAAAGGAGCCGAGCTTAGTAGCCAAAGGAGCCAAGCTTATTGTATTGTAACCTTGCTTTTCTAACCTTACCTTGGGGGGTCTATGTAACTACCTTCATTAGTAGTAACTGGAGGTTTCACTCCATAGCAAGTTGACGCCCTGTAGTAAAACAAGTTTGTCCCTCCCCCTGCCCTACCCTTACAAATAATTTGTCCCCAAAATCTCATGACTCATTTCCTTACAGCTGGAGGTATACTGTTGGAGTTGTGATAATTCACATTCTATTTCAGTCAGCATGAAATCTCACAGAAGAACTATAACAAAGTTCAAGCAACATGCAAATTACCAGCTGTTTATAAAAAATTACAAGTTGCTTGAAACACATCATGAATTTTCTGTAAATTAGTATGATTTGAACAAAAAAGGAATATGTTCCACTATCAGTAAATGAGTCGAAAGATTTGGGGGAAACTGGTAAAGGTGGCGGCAAACTTTCTCTACATCAGGAGATGAACTTGCAAAGGAGATAGGAGACACATGGTTCGTACAATCTTGAAAAGGTCTTGAATTTTTAACAGTCATCTTGAAGAGTCCTTGAATTTGGTTAAGTCCTTGAAAAGTACTTGATTTCTTTAGTAGGTCATGAAAAGTCCTTGAAATTTAGCAACTTCTTTGCGCCTTATGGCTTTTCTGATAAGTTAATAAACGATTTTGCTATGGAAAATTTGTCCACCAGTAACTACCAAAAAAGCGAAAATGTAGTGGTTTGGCTATGTTTGGTCGAGGAATTTTTCATTTCCCTTTGTTTTCAATTTAATTGAGCGATTGGCAAATGTGTATTCAATCATAAATGGTTTAGATTTCTGAATTAAACTTAGTCCTTGAAAACCATTTTTTGTCCTTGAAAATTCCTTGAAAAGTCCTTGAATTTTGTTTGTCTGAAGTTGTACGAACCATGGAGACAAATCTGCAATGGGGTAAAACTTCCAGAAACACTATCAGCTCATACACTGTAGTTGATAAACAACAAAATCTTGACTTGTCTGGTCATGCGGCAGATCTTTCAGTAATTTACCAAATACCAATCAAACTTTTTTAAGTTAATATGAAAAGTGGCAAGGAGATATAAAGCCAACTTGTAAAATTGCCGTCTAGTTTTGTTGTGTCTACAGCCGTCAGGTTAGTTCATGTTGTAGAGTGCCGAACTGCTGTGTTTAAGCCCCAGACCTGACCAACACTCTGGGTCTTAAAATAACTGAGGAGAATGTGCTACATTTGCTATGACATCTGCAGTGGTCAGACATTCTAGTCTGATCAGATAAGGACGAAAAACCTGAGGCCCCACCTCCTGTAACTACTTGGACAGTACTGGTTAGCAGGGGACGTTAAAGAACCCACACAATTATCTCAAAGAGTAGGGAATGTAGCTCCGGGTGTTGTGGTCTGGGCTTGATTCTGATAATAGGGGCATCTCCGAAATTTCCTTCGAAAATTGTAACTGCTCAATGCAGTCTGACTAAAGTCCCCCCACAAAGTGTTAAATTGGAAGAGCCACATAGTGGAGATGTAATACAGATATTGTATTGCACTGTCTGCTTACTGAAACTTTTTTTCAACTTTTCATGAGCAGCTCGTCGTGTATCCTCCACCAGATACCATGCACCGTTACAAAGACTTCATTCCCGTGTCAGAAATCTGGATAAACTGGAGAAAACAGATAGAGGATCTTCAGAGCACAAGAGAAAATCTCGAGAAGGTATTCGTGTCCTTCCTAAAATCAAAGAGGATCAGGTGTCACTTGGAGTTGAAGATGACAAAGAAAATGAAAAAGTTTTGAAACCTGTCCATGAAAGCAAACATCATCATCGACACCATGGGCGACACCATAAAGACCACAAAGAGCGTAAAGGACATAAGGATATGAAAGATGCTGGCGAAAAGAAACCTCATCATCATCATCACCATCGTCATCATCATCACCATCCACGCCCTGTCTTGCATCATCACAGAACCATATCAGAGAGGGAGCAATTGGAATCCAGGCTGCGCTCAGGAACATTGACGCTTAAAGAGATTGAGCCAATCCAGGAACGTTTAGCAACTGAAAAAGATGAAGCAAGCTTTCTGGCCAAAAGAGATTTGGAAGAAATGGCATGTAAGTAGAATTAGGCATTAAAACTGAGTATTAGTATTCAGATATCAAGAGATAAAAGGTCAGGGAAAACATTTTGGGTCTAATTCAACATCTGAGAGAAAGTAACATCTTATTTCAGATAATGTCACTCATTAATCACACATTTCTTTACCTTCTGACACCAAGGAGTGACCACCATCTAGTTTCTCCTATTTTATATCAAACTGTGTTTCTTAGAGTACAAATAACGTATGAGACAAGTACAAATACCACACAATATTTGTACTCCAGAAATATCAGCGAAATTCACCTGCACTGAAATAACAATTTGGAGTGTTGGATAGTAAATCTCTTATCAGATGTTTTGTTGTGTAGGTATTGCTGAGTATTTTTACTCGTTGTTTGTAATTTTGACTCACCCTTCAGGCTCATCAAAATATAGCACAACTTGTAAAAATAATCAGCGGTATTATGCAACAAAATGTCTAATAAGATACATGTATTATCACCCCCAAATCACTCATTAAGGTCACAAGAATTATAGAAATGATCACCAACTGGAGAAGCTCTTGATTTTTAAACAAACTCCAAACAGTATGGAGAATGTTAGGGTGTAAAGGTTTAACAGATTATTTCTTTTGCGCAGGGCATCGTTTTGAGGACCTAAGAGGCCTCAGAAGGAGGCGCCCTCATCTTCCACGGCATAAATCTGGCATGTCAACTCACTTCAGCAGCACAGACATCAGCAAAAGTTTGCAGAAATTTCCCGTAAAGTATGACCACAGTCCTCATGAGGTATATTGAAATGAAAACTCTATTGGAACTTTTGAATGTTTGATGAGGCACAGGGGAAGAAACCCCAGAGCTCAAAAAGTTTGTTCTTCATAACCTCATGCAAGTCTATGGTTTCACCTTAATTCTATTTAGTGTCTGCTGTACAATTCTTTTGATGTTAATTGGAAGAATTTGGTATTGAATCAACTAATAATCCCATACTTGTTATTTTTTCCCTCCTCCAAGTCTGTTGTTTTACCCTTTCTCTCCGAAGGTCTTATATTAAGTAATTCTCCATACTGCCTGCCCAACCATTCTTGTGCTGTTAATTGGAAGAATTTGGTATTGGATCAACTAATAATCCCTTACTTGATATTTGTATTTAATCTCATGAGTTGTATGCTTGGCATTGTAATGACATTGTATAGATATTTTACAAATGATACATTAACTGAGTAACTATTTATTTTACTCTATTTGCAAAATAACCAGGCATTTATTGAGTTAGAGCAATTGACAAAGCATGGCGAGGAGATGGAATGGAAGGAGACGGCCCGGTGGATAAAATTTGAAGAGAATGTTGAAGATTCAAACCGTTGGGGAAAGCCGCATGTGGCCTCGCTCACCTTCCATAGTCTACTTGAACTGCGCAAAGGTCTAGAGAAAGGTATGATAACTCCAGCTCGTTAACCAGAATTTGAAGTTGAAAGGTCCTGCCTTTTTGTCATTAACTGAGATAAAACTTCCCAAATGAGCGGTCTAGTAACCTAAATAAAATACTTGCTCATTCAAACAAGCTAAAATTTTATCTATAAACAGAAGGCAAATCATATTGCACTAACTGGTCTCATTCGAAGAGTTCCTTATTAAGAGAGAAAAAAAGTGAGGCACATTGGCTGTTATGTTGAAGAGAACCACCAGATTCACTGTTTATGAGGCTCATTGATGCTTTATGAAGTTACCAGTACAATAAGAGAAAATAGGCTTAACCAGTAACTCTTTGATATGAAAGAGTGACCAGCATCTATTTTCTCTATACGATGTCACCCCTCAATCAAACATTAAGGTCAGGAGAATACAGATGATGATCATCAACTAAAGAAGCTTTGATTGTTAAACAAATTCTGCTTGTCAGCTCCTTAGGAAATGTATAGAGAACAGTATGGAGAATATGCATACTGATGTTAGGGTGTAAAGAGTTAAGAATTACCCTCTTTTTGATGTCATAGGTACTGTATTGCTGGACTTAGAGAAATTTGATCTGCCAAGTATTGCTGAAGCAGTAGTAGAAAACATGGTGATTACAGACCAGATAAGTCAGACAGACAGTAATAAAGTCCTGGCAGCATTGCTTTTACGGCATAGACATCAGTATCAGATGTCTCCTCCTATTGCCCGACGGCCATCATCATATAATCTTTTGGCTTTGGCAAGGAAGGACTCCAAACACCCAATAGAAGATTCTGAAAATAAAGTGTTAGAACCTGAAGAAGGTGAAACGTTGGGTGATGGAGCTATCCGGCTAAAGATTGATGAAAGTGACAGTGATTTTCCTGGGCAAGAAATCAGTCCGGTAAGTCACACAAGCCTTGCCATTGCCAGCAGGGTTTATTGTTGAAATTGGTCAAAGAGGGCCCAGTAGACGCCATTTTCTTGTTTTAGGGGAGCTTTATCAAGATAGCAAGCTCAAGAAAGAAGGTTCCCTAAAATGTGATTGCTTCTGGTTGTTAAAGGGGCAATGTTGTCTTTCTCTTTAGAGTTAATTAACTAATATTTCTTCGATAGTTATCACTGAGTGGTGATGAAAAACAAGATCAGAAGGCAGAAGTGTCCTTTGCACCAGAACCTGCTGTGGTAGAAGGAGGTTCTGGAAAACAAGAATCAGATGTCAAGTCAAGAATTCCTGAAGGAGCAGAGGCTACTACTGTCCTTGTAGGAACACTCGATGAACTCCAATATCCAGTTGTAGCATTTGTTCGTCTCGCCAAAGGGTGCCCCTTGAATATCACAGAAGTGTCCATTCCTGTCAGGTTCATGTTTGTGTTGTTGGGTCCAAGCTCGGAGGAAGAGTCTTACTACGAAATTGGTCGGTCCGTGGCCACCCTAATGTCAGATCAGGTCTGTTATATTCAGATTCATTTAATGAGCTGAATTATGTATTTTGATTGACTGTTACCTATGATCTACTATTAGAGGACAGACGTAGAGATGATGTCACCAGTTACTCCTTAACTTTCAAGATCTGATCGTTAATTCTCCCCTCTAGCTGCTACACATTTCCTTGTAAAGGAAAAGAGAATTTGGTGTTAGATCAAGATAACAATTTCTACCTGATAAGCTTGAGTATTCTCGTTACCTATTTTTCTGGATAATGTAGGGATATTATAGAGAGAAGTTTCGTGTTAATCACCTATGTTGCCATGGGTCTGTACAGTAATGGCTTACAGAAAACGTCAAAATGTAGCAAGAACATCAGTGACACACGGGGCTGGGCTTCTTGTGCCACCTTTTTGTTCTCATCACATTCTAAGGGGT